TTTTTTTTTTTTTTTTTTTTTTTGTACCGAGGATCGACCTCGGGCCCTTGCTCTTGCGAGGCAGGTGGTGGAACCACTGAGCTAAATCCCCGCCCGCAAAAAGTAATCTTAATGCTCTACCAGCGATATTTCGGAAACAGCAAACTCAGTCACACAAAGATAGTCCACACAGCAACACCTGGCATACCTTTGCAGTTAGAAACAATCTACAGGTAATAAGGTAGGCGCAAACCATAGTTCCAGTTCTTCCTAGAAAAGAAAAGAAGTTAGTTCAAAAAACCATTGTTTGCCGTAGAGCTCCGTGCAAAGAGACACTCAGAAATACTCAGCGTGCATTTCATATGGATTTTTTTTCACCCTGAATTAGCCAGGAATGTTTTCCTCTGGTATTCGGTGTCCTGCGGGCGTGGTGCATGTGCTCTTTTCCTCCATCACTAATACTCAGCAATGCAGTAAAGAAAGATGTAATCAGCTCTCCTCTAGGACTCCAAAGCTAAGGCTCTACTTACTCAGTAAGAACTAATTATAGGGGTTGGGGATTTGGCTCAGTGGTTCCACCGCCTGCCTTGCAAGCACAAGGTCGCAAGTTCGATCTCCGGTACAAAAAACAAAAAATCTAATTATACACTTTACTTTTGTAACTAATATAAATAAAATACATATAAATGATAAAACAGATCAGATCCCAAAACACCATCTAGCATTTGCAATATCTCTTATTCCTTCCATTTTACCTAAGAGTTTTAATTGTATGAGAAAAGTTTTCAAACATAACAAATACAAAGAGGACAGTAAAATGAACCCTCATGGATGTGTTCTCCGGATTCTGTGATCATCAGGATTTTATTATACTTCATTAATTTCTCTTTTCTCTTCCCTGTCTTCTTCCCTGTTTTTCTTTCTGCTCTGGATTTTAAAGCAAATCTTTGACTTTATGCATCATGTTGCTTCATCTTCAGAGTCTTTTATTTTTATTCTAATTTATATTTTTGTTCTGTCTCCAAAATTGTACTTTGAAAAAAATGTGTTGCATTTTAAAATACAACAATCTTTTGACTTAGGCAGGACATACTGACCATAATTATGGAATTCCAAACTTACCATTTTACCTGAGATACTAACTTTTGTTCTTTAAAAATTTTTTTATTTTATTTATTTATTTTTTGAGACAGCGTCTCACTATGTAGTTGAGACTGACCTGGAACTCACTATGCAGCCCAGGCTGGTCTCGAACTCACAGCAATCCTCCTGCCTCAGCCTCTTGAGTGCTGGGATTACAGGTGTGCACCACCACGCCTGGCTAAAAAAAATTTTTTTTAAATGAAACACTAAACTGATTTTGTAACTAACAATTTACTTTTTTGGCAGGGGATACTGGGGATCGAACTTTGGTTGTTGCACTTAGCAAGGCAGGCGCTGGAACCACTGAGCTAAATCCCCAGGCCCCAACTAGGAATTTGAATGACACTATTCTAAGCTTGGTACTTCTAAAGAGAAGTTTATACCACTTTTTGCTATGACCAAAAAAAAAAAAAGCTTCTTGTTCCCAGAGGGTACCAATCATTAGCATCCTACCTCTTAGATACATTGACTGCTAACATTTCAATTATGGAAGATATCTCTTGGTCTCTGTAACTCTGATTTTTTTCTCACTTGAAAGAAACTTGGAAATTTCCATTACCAATTATACCAGGAGCAGAATTCTGATCTCTCATCTGGCAAAGCAGATAAAGCAAATAAATAAAAATGCTATATACCTGTACATGCCTTAGATATTTTATCATAACTCAGACATAAATATGCTTTCATTCATTAAAATTCTGATATTGGACAAAGGCTTTAACTTTTTACATATGAATTCTTTCTTGGAAAAGCTAGGCTTACTGTAAAAAGATCAGTAAATCATCTATAATCTCTCATTTCAGATTCTTTAGAGAAACCTAGGTGTAGAATTGTAGGCAAAATACACGTCTGGCTGGGACAAGTGCCCCACACGTACATCTCCTAGCACACTATAGTAGCGGCCTAGCTCACGTGTTGAGCCTTGTCTATGTCTGGCTATGGCCTTGCCCATCCCCCCTATTTGGATGCCTCCATCGCCTCTTCCAAGGATAGTCCAATAACCAATCCTGTTAAGCCAAATATATTACTCCCCCTTTGCCACTCCCTTTTTCAAAACTTTCTAAATTGCTGGATGAACTTATTAAAAGTGGAAGCCTTCCAGAAACCTTCCCAGAGTCTGCTTGGTGATTCCGTGCCTTGCCCTCCCAGTCCGAGTCCCTGAACCTTTGTTCGGTGAGCGGGCTTGCAGACAAAACAACATAGAATCTTTTTAGAGTTTTCTACTAGAATTTTTCTCTCAGTGTTTTATAGTGGTCTTGCTTGCGTCTGGTTCAGCCATAATTTTGGTTGTAGCCATTTAACTTCACTAAATATTCCTCAAATATTCAATTTATTTCTCACAAGATTAAAAATCTCTTTACTTTGACATTTGCAGATTTACATAATGTTTAGCATAATTGTCAATTAGAAATGGCAAACCCTGGTGGAAGCAGAAATACATAGGAATAGAAATGCTTACTAGCTTTTTTTCTTTTAGTGCCAAACAGCACTGATCAATGTGTTTATAAAGGGACTGGAGAACAACAGATATTCCACCAAGTCGGTTACACTGATGCCAGCAACACAGCCTTTGTTATCCTGAAGTTAGCAGAAGCACTGTGCATCTCTAGTATAATGCACTTCTTAGCCTTCATAATGATAACAGTAACATTTATTTATTGCTTTACAAATATCACACCTATTTACAACTCTATGAGGTAAAACTTTTGGCACAGAAGGAGAAACAGGGTATGCAAGTCTAACAATTTTCATATAATCAAATATTTTAATGCCAGTGAAGAAGTTAAAAATGTGTCAGCTCCGGCATATTGACTATTTTAAATTAAAGATACTTGAAAACAGCAGGTCCAAGAAGATTACTCAGGCCAATCCTGTCTCTTAAATTAGGAGATAAAATCCCCATGTTAAAGACACCGTTCTTATACCAGAAGAAAAGGTATCATTTTTCTTATGAGAGGCCAACAGAAATATGCACAAACCATCCTTGGAAGACTATTCCTATCTTTCTACTCACTTTCCCCGCACCTAATTAACTCCCCTTGCCTAAGCTCCGTTACCTTGTCATGTTTTCATAATTTCCTACTCTTCCCAGTTTAATTCTATTGTTCATCTCTGTGTCTTTAGTTCTTTATTTCCTCCTAGAGGCTCCCATAGCACGTAAATACTGTAATACATTTGTATGCTTTTTCCTGTTGAGCTGTCTTATGTCAATTTAATTCCCCAGCCCACATAAAAAATTCTAAAAAAGGCAAAGATAAACATTCTGTCTCCTCTGTATCAGTTTTTATGACTTTTTACAACAATCTTTAAGCATCATTCTTTTTCAAGCCATGTCTGTCACCCTTTCCCACAATGCAGAACTTGTACTCCAGATTCCTGAATTCACAAGTAGAGCACAGAGGTAATTTTCCATATATCAAAAGTGACAAGTGTGTGTGGGTGTCCCTTAGATCTTTAAAACCCTTAAGATCTAATTGAAAGAACTTTTTATTCAAGATATTCAGACCTTCATGGCCTTTTATGAGTCTGACTGCTTCAGTTGACACAATGACTCAAATGAAGGTGTATCTTATAGCATCTACGAAACAATGTTAAAGAGTGAGCAAAACTTAAACATCCACTCCTATTATTTAAATAAAAAATGCTCATGCACAACTATAAGACTAAAAAAAGGTAAGTTTGACATAAAAAATGACAGTACAATGTTGAGGCTAGTAAAATGACCAATATTATTGAGACATTAACTCTTCTTGTTTGATATTTACACATTTGATTTCATCCCCATGACAAGACTGTGATGTTGGCACTGTCATCTTGTGCCTTCTATCTATCAAAAAGTGAAGAGAGTTTAAGTAATTCACTCAATGCCACATAATATTAGACATAGCTGGGATTGGAATCCTGTATTTTATTTTTAAAAATCTGTCTTTAACCAGTATGCTGTAGTAACTGCAAATAGATTTTTTAAAAAAATACAGTTAAAAAATAGACTACTGGGCTGGGGATTTAGCTCATCGGTTCAGTGGCCTGCCTTGCAAGTGCAAGGACCTGGGTTCAATGCCCGGTACCAAAAAAA